AGTATCTGTAAGAATTTATCTGAGAGACAGAAATTGCTCATTGCTCAAGGAATCCCTTGCAACTTCTGGAGGATCCCTAGGATTCCATGGAACCCTGGTTGAGAAACCTTGGTTCAGAGACTGATATTCCTTAAAACAGGATGATAAAACCTCCAATGTATCCCCATTCTGTTTCCTTTCCCCATCAAATCATAGACACTTGTTACTTAGAGTGGCAACAGTGGGATAAACAGTAGAAGCAGTGACAGAGCGAATGGTGCCATTGGGTACACAATTATTTTAGGGGTTAATGTTTCTTATTTTTGTAGTGTCAGGCACCATGGCCTAACTTAAAATGCATTTGGAAATTTTGAATAGCTGTTGACAATGAAGCAGGTTATTTTATTCTAAAATATATATTCCAGAGGCAAATATATTACTGAAACCTTGGAATGGGTTAACCAACAGGAAAATTATAAACACCGCAATATTTAAGGAATTAGATTCCTCAGCTAAATTATATATGTATTAAAATCAGTGTCCTTGCACATAAACTCTTCCAGTCTATTTTTTACATCAGCAATAAACAAGTTTGAACCTTTAAAAGCTGAAAAACCTGTTATTGTTCATGAAACATATTATGCTAGCGGAATGAAAATCAAAACTAAATAATGTTTTTCTACATTAGTAGAAAGCAGAAAACTGTGAAAATTGAACTGGAAAAAAAATCTTTTTGGTTTAATCTCTTTTATTAGGCTAACATGGAGGATTGGTGAAGCTCAACCAAGTCAGTTGGAGACTCTAAATGAGCAGATATTTCCCTGAATAGCACAGCATTTGTTCATTTTTCTGTAATACACCAGACAGTACAGGGGTTCCCTGGTGCATAATTCCTGCATTGTCACTGCGGGAAACACAAGGGCAGACTTGTCTATCACTCTTTCAGGTGTCGCCATGCAGCCCCAATCTAGTTCACTTTCAGAAATGTACCATGATCCTGCCATAAATCTTGTCAGTAGACACCTTCCTGTACTCTCTGCCTAAGCTGTAGTAGTATAAATTACGATCAGGGCTTTTTTTTCTCAATAAAATAGGTGCAGGAACCCCCCCCCCCCTTCAGAGTCACTTCTTGACTCCATCCCCCCTTTCCAACTTCCAAACACTGTCCCAGGGGCGGACTGACAACTCATGAGGCAATAGGGGATCATGGGGCCCCTGCGTCCTTGCCCAAACTCAAAAAAAACCTATGAAAAGGGTACCAGGGGTATCTCATGGGGCCCCTTACTGACCCCGGGCCCTCGGGCAGTGCCCAAGTTTCAAAATGGTCAGTCTGCCCCTGCACTGTCCCTTGTTTCCACCCCATACCCACCTCCCAGTGCGGCTCCTTTTAGAGAATACAGAGCCAAGTATCATTTTGTGGTGCTATGTAATTTGTATGGAATGTGTTAATGATAACAAGAAAAGCAGTAAAGCAGATCCCCCACAGCCAACAGCAATAGATCCTCCCCCAGCAACAATGAACCCCAGAAACAACAACAGATCCCCCAGCAGCCATCATCAATAGATTCGCCAGCAGCCAGCAACAATAGACCACTTCCTCAGCAGTAGATCCCTTACAGAAACAATTGCCCCCCCCCCCAGCAGCAATAAACTGCCATGCATAAAATAGATCCTCTCCAGTGACAATAGATCCTTCAGCAGCCAACAATAAAAGACCCCTTCCTCAGCAGTAGATCCCTTCCAGCAACAATAGACCTCCTAAGCAACAGTAGACCCCCAGCAGCAACAACAAATCTCACAGCAGTCAGTATCAATAGACTCTCCAGCAGCCAGCAACAATTTGCCTCTCCATAAGCAGTAGATCCCTTCCAGCAACAAGTGCCCATCCCCAAGCAACAATAGACCACCATGCAAAAATAGATCCTCTCCAGTGACAATAGATTCCTCAGCAGCCAAAATAATAGACCTCTTCCTCAGCAGTAGATCCCTTCCAGCAACAAGTGACACCCAAGCAACAGTTACCCCCAGCAGCAACAACAGATCTCACAGCAGCCAGCATCAATAGACTCTCCAGCAGCCAGCAACAATTTGTCTCTCCCTAATCAGTAGATCCCTTCCAGCAACAATTTGTCTCTCCCTAAGCAGTAGATCCCTTCCAGCAACAACTGACCATCCCCAAGCAACAATAGATCACCATTCAAAAATAGATCCTCTCCAGTAACAATAGATCCCCAAGCAGCCAGCATCAATAGACATTCCCGCACACCTCAACACCCCTTGCCTTTACATACATTCAGTGCTAGAGGTGCCGGAACCTTGTTCTCCCGCATTCCCGCTTTAAAAAAGCCCTGGTTACAATGTTCCCTGCAGGGGCGGACTGACCATTTGAAAACTTGGGCACTGCCCGAGGGCCCTGGGTCAGTGGGGGGCCCGATGAGATGCCCCTGGTACCTTTTTCATAGGCTTTTTTGAGTTTGGGCAAGGACACAGGGGCCCCATGATCCCCTATTGCCCGGGGGCCCCATGAGTTGTCAGTCCGCCCCTGGTTCCCAGTTATGTTGAGAACTAAAGAACCCCTCCTCTTTCTGTTACAGAGAAGAGGGGCAGGGGAGGTGTTTTGTAGTCACATCCTAGGCTGACAACGATGCTTCTCCATAGATACAGTACAGTGAACGAGTGTTGTGTTCCTAGACTACTGGCAGAACCATCAATTGAAAATAAAGGGAAAAAAGCCTGAAAAAAAAAGAAAATTAATGCAGCTACTGCATCTAAAAACTGGTATATTTTTTTTCTTTTCCTTTGGTTTAGATATGCTTTGATCTTGCTTGCTTGCGTTAGTCATTTAAGTTGACACTTGATTCCATCTCTATTCCTACCCGATTCTGACAGCAGTACTGACACAAGAAGAGTGAAAAATCAGGACTTGCATGCAAGAACATTTTCCAACAAGTTAAAATATGTTCCATTTTTTTTTAGAGATGCTCATGATTATCCATTAGGAGTCAATGACGGCCCAGTTATTTTAAGTTAGTCTTTAAAATGGTAGTTAACCTAAAATCAAACATTAATTATACTGCAGCTTACTAATTCTTACATTTGGTGGCTGCATTACTTTTCTTTTTTTTAGGCTTTCTTTCCTTTATTTTTACCTAGTGATCTGGACAGTAAGTCTGTTGTTTTCCTGCAAATGTAGTAGTTAGGAGAGTTGAGGCAAACCTATTACCACTGGCAGAGGTGCTTACAATGATCGGCTTTAAAAAAAAAAACTGTAGCTGTAACTGCGGCGTGAACTGGAGTTTGGCTTCAGCTAGTTAGTGCATCTAAATCTGCTAGTACATCTAACAGTCCCCTCCCCGCAGACTGATAATGCTGCTGTCCAAAGGTGCCCCCTGTGTTCCTTCATCCAGAGTGGGGTCACTCTAATAAAGAAGGTGTGTGTTAGTGGTCAGGTCAACAAAAAGGCTAAAAAAAGAAAACTAATTCAGTTACCACATATATAAAACCCTAGTGATGGAATGGATAGAAAATGACATTTGTATACTAGTTTTGTATTGTCAATATATGACGTGTCCATTTAAAGGTGCTAATTAAAAGGTCCCCCAGTCAGCAGAGAAGGGGACACATAAAGCAACATCAGTGCATCAGCTGAGCTCCCCTGTCAGCCATGAAGGAGCTTTTATCAACACTTTGTTTAGGACATGATAGAAATTGTCATTTTAACCACTGTTTGTCCTCCTCTGAACCCCAACTGGCATTTTATTTCCTTGCAGCAGAATATAAAAAGCAGTACCAGGATGGGGGTCGTCCAGCACCAAGTACAAAAATCCATAACTGCGCCCCCTTCCCCACTGTTGATATATGCTGTAGAACTTGTGTACCGCCCTGCATCTATTATTTGCCCCCTTGCTTCTCTGTGCCCAGGGCAGCTGCCCCTTCTGCCCACCCCTTGTCACGGCCCTGCCCCCTGAGAAATCATATAAGAAGCCCTTGACCCAATTTAGCAGCAATCACTAAAAACTGAAATATCAGTTTGGGGCAGATTGGACTTAAAACTATTAAATTCATTTGCACAAAGTTAGTCATGTGAAAAAAAAAAACTTAAAGAAACTTAGAAAACAGTTTGACAGCAAATAAGAAATCATGCCTAATATTCAGGCCAACTTTATAAAGTATTTTACATAAATTTTTTTTGCAGCTCTTCCAATTTAAAAGATGATTTTGTCTTTCATCTCTTATACAAGAAGGATTGCGTTATGTTATTAACTCTAGGCTCCTGCAGAGCCTCCTGAAAACACGGAGTATATCTATACATCTACAAGGACAAGCAGATTTCCTGGAAGAGGATGAAAGGAACATAGTTATTACATATTAAAGGATCATCATCCCTAATATACAAATTGCTGTACTTAAAAGTCAAAATAAACTTTTACCTATTTATTATTGTAAGCATTCCCTTCCTTTGATGGGAGATATTTAACCACTTGCCCTCCAGATGATTTACCCCCCTTCCTGACCAGGCCATTTTTTCCGTTACGGTGCTTCTTTACTTTAACTGATGATTGCACGGTCATGCAATGCTGCACCCAAATGAAATTTACGCCCTTTTTTCCCACAAATTGAGATTTCTTTCAGTGGTATTTGATCGCCTGTGCTTTTTTATTTTTTTTGCAAAATAAAAAAAAAAAGACTGACGATTTTGAGAAAAAAAAAACAATATTTTTGACTACATGTCCAGTAAAAAAATTTAAAAAAAATCTAATTTCGTCATACATTTTGGCCAAAATGTATTCTGCTAAATGTCTTTGCTAAAAAGAATCCAAAAATATGTAAATTAATTGGTTTGCGTGAAAGTTATAGCGTTTACAAGTGGCTGTATATATATACTGGATTTTTTTTTTCACTAGTAATGGCGGCCGGACTGCGGAGGGCATTCTGGGGCATTCACTGGGGGGAACTGACTTGGTGTCACTGACATCCCCAGTGACACCAATACAGGAATCAGTGCTAAAAAAAGCATTGACACTGTACTAATGACACTGGGCAGGAAGGGGTCAACATGAGGGGCAATCAAAGGCTTAACTGTGTGCGGGGAGTGTTTTACTAGGGGGCAGTGTGTTGGTGCTTCACTGTAAGCACTCTGCTCTGGATGGCTGTGCTGTGCACAGTCATCTGGAGCAGTGTGCCCCAGCCAACAGGGAGGAGGACTGTTAGTAAACAAAGCAGCCCTCCTCCCCATTGGAGATCCTTGGTAATCACCGGGTGCTGGCGGGTAATCACCATCTGGGACCCTGTGATTGACAGCCGCGAATGGTAGTGTGGGTAGGACATGCACGTGGCTCGCACACGCCCCCTACCCGGAAATGCAAAATTACATATATATACATGATTTTGCGCAGCCCTGCCACCCTGTAGCAGTATATCTGCTATAGGGCAGTCAGGAAACGGTTAATAATGTTTAACAAGTTAAAGTTACTTTTTATGTTATTAGCCATTTCAGGCTCATTACTGTGAACTTTAGTGGTAATATTTCTACAGAATGTGTAGAAAAATATTGTTACTTATGCACCTATGGGAATTAGCAAGTTTGTTTTCTTATGCGAATGTGCGCTGCACAGATGTTCTTCATATGCTGAACATAAACTATGCAACTTGATGTAAACAAAGACAAAATGTTTAGCTTTAAGATAAGAATCAATTATTGAGGGGTAGTATTTATGAAAGAGGTAGTGCCTCAAAACGTAAATGGTGGTCAGATCACTAATGGTCTAGAGCTGCCTTTCTCAACTAGGGTTCCTCCAGAGGTTGCTAGGAGTTCTTTGAGCAGTTAAGGATTTCTGCCTCTTACACCGATTATCTGTTAGGGGGCAGTTCTTCTCACTGACTACAAATGTAAGCAGCATTCTTCCCAAATACCATCACCCTATTGTACCATCAGTTGTAGCTATAGGAGTTAGTAGCAAGGGTACCCTGTGGTGAGAAATCAATCTTAAGAGTTCCTCCTCATTAAAATGTTTGAGAAAGGCTAGTCTAGAAGCATGAAATGTTGGGTTTCAACTGCAAGAAAACAGTGCTGGTGGTGTTGAGCCCAGATGCCCTAAAGTTGTACCCCAATCATAACCTTCACACTATCCCTCCCTGAAACCTTCACGCTATTGTACACCCACCACAGTCTTCACACTATTCCTCCTTGTAACCCTCACACCATTGTACACCCATTATAACCTTCACACTATCCTTCCCTGTAACACTCACACCATTGTACACTCATCCTAACCTTCACACTATCTTTTGCTATAACCATTACACTATTTTATGCCAACCATGATATTCACACTATCCTTCCCAGTAACCATCACTCTATTGTATGCCAACCATGATCTTCACACTATCCCTCCATGTAACCCTCACTTTATATTCATCCACCCTAACCTTTACACTATCCCTCCCAGTAACCCTCACACTATTGAATGCCAACCACAATATTCACACTATCCTTTCCTGTAATTGGAACACTATGGTATGCCAACCATGATTTTCACACTATCCCTCCCAGTAACCATCATACTATTGAATGCCAACCATGATCTTCACACTATCCTTCCCAATAACCATCACACTATTGTATGCCAACCATGATCTTCACACTATCCTTCCCAGTAACCATCACAATATTGTATGCCAACCATGATCTTCACACTATCCTTCCCAGTAACCATCACACTATTGTATGCCAACCATGATCTTCACACTATCCCTCCATGTAACCCTCACTTTATTGTACATCCACCATAACCTTTACATTATCCCTCCTAGTAACCCTCACACTATTGTATGCCAACCACAATATTCACACAATCCCTTCCTGCAATTGGAACACTATTGTATGCCAACCATGATCTTCACACTATCCCTTCCTGTAATCGGAACACTATTGTATGCCAACCATGAACTTCACAGTGTCCCACCCTGTAACCCGAATACTACTGTACTTTGACCATATACTTTACACTATCCCTTCCTGTAACCCTCACTCCATTGTACATCCACCATATCCTTCACACTATCCCTTCCTGTAACCCTCACTCTATTGTACATCCACCATAACCTTTACACCATCCCTTCCAGTAACCCACACACTAATGTCCGTCAATGATAATCTTAACACTATCCCTTCCTGCAACCCTCACACTATTGTATGCCAACCATAACCTTCACACTATCCCTCCCTGTAACCTTCACATCATTTCTCCTTGTTATCATCAATCAAAATGTAGGACAGGACACTTAATAGGACTGTAGAATAAAACCCAATCTTCTTTTATACATAACATGGCAGGAGGTGTCCTTTAATTTACAGGAGCTATCTTGCTAGGGTTGGTACCACCAGTTGAGGAAACAATGAGGAGTGTACATATACTGTATATATATATATATATATATATATATATATATATATATATATATATATATATATAAATAAAACAAAAATATTTTAATATATTTAACAGACCAAAAGGGATTAATTAAGAGACTTTTATTATTGGGATTTTATTAATATTATTTTTATTCTTATACAGGATTTATATAGCGCCAACAGTTTGCTCAGCGCTTTACAATATAAAGGGAGACAATACAATGATACAGTTCAGTACAAGAGGGTTAAGAGGGCCCTGATCCTTGAAGCTTACAATCGAATAGTTAGGATTTACATATACTAGTTAAACGTAATTGCTTGTTTTTCTACTCACCTCTCCTTTACCGGTATCCGCTGAATCAAAAATTCCAGTGCTGATGTCCTGGTACTGAATCCTTCTGCTTCTCTGAAAGTGGATCCTTGGTGGTCTGTAGTAATTTAAATATGATTAACACCAGGAGGGAATCCAGCATCAGCACTAATTATCTGCAGCACTGGTTTCCTTTGTTGGTACCTTTGTTTGATTTGGGTGAATGGTGCATGGGAAGAATGGAGCTAAAACATTTCAGAGATAGAAGCAGTACACAACAGAGTATATAAAGTCTGTTCATATGCAGTACAAATATAGTAGGGCTATGTAGAGCCACTACAAAACCGATTTCCACTTTATATAGCATTTTGCTCACCCCTTTACCACTAAATTAGCATACTGAGCTAAGGCTCGATGGGAGGGATATCAGTATTCTGGATTCTCCATATAGAGCCTATCTAACCCCTGTTTGTATATCTAGATAGTACCCTACTCTCAGCCCTCTATGCCCATGGTGTTCCACTGGAGTGGGCATGTTTTACAACCTGTTAGAGGCATGCCTCATTTTTTTTTTCTATGCCCCATTATACAGATGTTTTGGACCCAGATCATACAATTTTTACATGACCAAATGGGCTTCTCGCAGCAATTAGATCCTTGACATGGTTTGCTGGGCCTTCTTCCTAATCCCAGTGCTGACAAACAGTGATATATTTACCCGGGGATGTCTTTCCAAATATTGTGAAATCTGGAAATGTTGGCTCTCGCACTCTGGTACCTGCGTCTGGGTTGGCACGCCTTATCTTTTATTTCTTCCCTTGATTTCTTTGGAATAATGGTCCTGCAGGAGATTGGGGGTGCAAACCGGATGTGGTGTTCAGTCCTGATTGTTCTTAATGCATTCTGCACGTAAGAATCTATTTTAGCCTTGCATTGAATCACTTTCACATTTGCTATGGGTCCACACTGTCTATCTGTCCCCCCCACCTTCCTGTCCTTGTCAACCACTCTTCTTTTTTTGTGTATCTCCTCAAGGCTTACCATCCTGTTGTGCCATTGCAACACAACAATAAGTAATGCTCTTGGCTTTCTTTTGTACTGCATTGTGTTATTGTACCAGTATATGTACATCGAAAAACCTTGGTTTTTCAATGTGAAAAATACAGTAGGGAAGAGATATAAGGAAGCAACAAGCTACCTTATCCAGTGAAATAAGTGATGAGACCACAAGAAAGGGTCACATCACTTTTAGATACACAGGTAGGCAGTGAAAGAATGAACAATAAACTTAATGTTACTATAACGAGATCCTGTTACCAGACCATTAATTTCAACCAAAATCTCCCTGTATGATTAAATGTGCATTTATTGGATTTTAAGAGTGTTATTTTCTTGTAAAAGTCCTCTTGGATGTGATGTCAGCAGCCTCAACAGACGCAGCAGTGTCATTCAGGTGACTTTCTGTATTAATCCCATTAAGTCCTCTCCCGATTGCTACATAAGAGGTTATGTAGGGAGAAGAGGGGAGGAATGGAGATGCTGGGCCAGCAAAGACAGTGGAAACAGAAACAACCTCTCCTGTGGTCTGAGCAAGGGTGGATGGATGGAAACGAAACTTGAGAAAATTCGACCACCAATGCATAGAAGGTTGTGCGGCTCTAAACAAGGCTGGGGAAGCCCAACCAGTACTGCAAAGTGAAATAAAAAGAAAGCGCACCAACTTTGCGCATTACCTCAATAAACTGTGATTTTAATAAATTGAGCATAATACTCACAGAGCTCTGATGAAGAAGGGACCCCCTTTCGAAATGCATCAGCCTTACTTACAAGAGTCTACCCTTGTGATGTGATTTGCACTGGTTTTATACTCCTAATGTTCCTTTGAGGACCTACAGTTCTGTTCAAAATAATAGCAGTGTGTTGAAAAAAAAGTGAATAAAGCTCAAAATTCTTCTAATAGCTTTTATTTCCATACACACAAATGCATTGGGAACACTACACATTCTATTCCAAATCAAAACATGAAGAAAAATATATCAAATTTGTGTTGTTTCTCTAAACAAATTGAAGAAAAGTGAATATTAGACTGTTCAAAAAAATAGCAGTGTTTGTATTCTTCTTTACAAACTCAAACATTCACTATATAAACTGAGAAATGTTTGAAGATTTTACTTTCCTTTGAATCACTTAATTAATATTTAGTTGTATAAGCACTGTTTCTGAGAACTGCTGTACATCTGTGTTGCATGGAGTCACCCAACTTCTGGCCCCTGTGAACAGGTATTCCAGCCCAGGATGATTGGACTACATTCCACAGTTCTTCTCTATTTCTTGGTTTTGCCTCAGAAACTGCATTTTTGATGTCACCCCACAAGTTTTCTATTGGATTAAGATCCGGGGATTGGGCTGGCCA